TCGCGTAAAAGGGATTTTCCGGGGAAGAAATTTATCGCCATCAGGCGTGGGCCGGTCTGTTCCTTTGTCTAAATGGGACGAAACAGAAGATTCCTACTTGCTAAGGGGGAGGACCTGACAATCGCAAACCACTTGGTCCTGGGTTAAAGGTTGATGAGAGATGCTCAAGAAGCACAGAGGAACGAGAAACGTGTGGTTGGCGGGGCGCCTACACTCTGGTGGAACCTTCATATTGGATATTGTCATGCGCTGGCGCCGCGCCTATTCGAAATTGCCAGCTTGATGAAATAGAAAACCGACCCTGCAACTCTCTGTCAGTCTTTCGCATTTTCTGCATCGGCCTCGATAGCATAAGGCCGGGGAGACAAGTTGTGGCAAAGGAAGGAAGGAGAGAGTAGAAGCAGGCATGAACAAATTTGGGAATATGCGGAATGACTCGCGCAATCTCGCATGTCCTTAGGGGAAAAAAGAGAAGAAAAAAAAGGTAAAAGAAGACGGCCTTTTCGGCTCCCGTTATTCAGGTCAGTTTTCCCCTAGCACTCTTGCCTCACTCTTCTTCTTCCCTTTTGCCTTTCCTCTTTCGCCCTTTTGCGCGAGGAGAGAGGAGGGAGCGCAGCCAAGGGCCCCCACCTTTCAAGGTCAATCAAAATAATATGACCCAGGTAGGAAGTCGAGGCGAAGATGTCGCGCACAACACGCGCTACCTCTTCAGAAGATCTTCCCATAATATTATGGGGGTTTGAAAAACAAGGTACTTTGAGATGCAAGCTCTGGCTCCTAATCTAACACACAGAGAATAAGCTGCAGCCTGTGTAGCAGTGACGCAAGGCAAATGACATCCTGTCCCAAAGAAGACGCGCGATGGGAGGTCAAAACGTGCAGGAGGAGGAGCGCCAAGACAGTGTGGGCGCCATTCTCGGCAGACAACTATTTTTATCTGGCCCAGAGGTGTATGTGAGCGAGAGCGATTCTCGCAGCTCTCGGATCAACAACAGCATTTACACACCTTCCGCACACAAACTAAAGGGGAGAGAAGGCTAGGGAGACAGGGTCAACGCGAGGGAGAACCGTGCTGGGATAAACAGACGCCCTCGCTCGGCCGGCATCTTCTCCTAGCAGCTCCAAAAGGCGATGTGCGAGTTCTTAGCTTGCTGCCTCCATGGGGGCGCCAAAGACCGGCTGAACGATTACGCGTCATTTTTTATTTTTTATTTTGGACACACATCCATGCCGCGAAATGCGCCGCGTCGAGTATATGGAAGACAGGAAAGCAGATGGAGGACGAAAAGGAACCCCAGCGAGCTAGCGGACAAGTAGATGAGGGTTCTTTTGGAGGGTTTCATTCGTCACCTGCCGTTCTGTCCAATTTCGGTGGCCGAAGATGCTGTTCCATCAGAACCCAGACCGAGACAACCAGCGGGCATATCCCGAACAATATAGACGTCGTTTCTCTATCCGGTCCATCGCCGCCGGTGGGAAGGGATTTGTCATGGATTTACAACGCGCGTGGCTACAGGAAAGGCGATCGGGCATTGGTCGCCATGCTCTAGCTCCCGCCGGCAGAAACAAAACGCGGATATGTGAAAAATCGGGCGGCGAACAGGGACGGGCATGGGAGCGGAAAATTAACGGGTTCCTAGCTAATATGGAATCAATCATTCTTCCATACTAGAAGTCTTGTCGGCCACAGGGGGACTTGGCGAGTTCGCCGGTTGCTCTTTTGGATCCTTCGGGATCGGCGCCCCGCGCGCAAGGAAGGCCACGCTGTCGTTCCTCGGCATTTCCAGAGCCGGGTCCACTAAGAGACCATGGCTCAAGAGCTAAAGGAAGCGAGGTCCTCCCTGTGGCCTCGCGTGCCTTGCTCTTATTTTTCGTCCCAGGATTCACGCGTCCCGCCCTAATCTGCCATTTTCAAGGTCACACAGCTAGCAATTCACTTGTTACTGACGAGGGATGAGTGCCAGGCAACTGAGTCGAATCTAGGTGGGCATGCCTCCTGATGGGAGACAGGAGTCCTGACCAGATGTTTGGTCGCGTTGAGGCCCGCGGAACTTGCCAGTTCTTAGATTGCAAGGGTTGCGGTTCAGGGTTTTGGTTAGACTCTTCTTTGTTTTCTTTCCTTCTCTTTCTTTTTCACCTCCCACTCTCTCTCTCTCTCTCTCTCCATCCTTCGTTGTCTTCGAGGGCGCGAGCGGTTCATCCTGCTTCGAAGCGAATGCTACACTATTTCCCGCTCTTTTCCCCTCTTCGCCGCAGGGCGGAATACCTAATTCTCTTGCCCCTTCCTTGACTGATGCTTACCCCATCCGCTCCTCGGTGTGGCTATATGGCTAAACACCAAAGGGCTAGCCAGCCCACCGACGATACCGGCGGGATCCTAGTCACCACCAGTGCCGGCCAGTCAGCGACACAGCTCGAGCGGTTTGAGAGAGATGGGACGATGTGGGGGGCGTGTCCTAGCTGGCTTGGCCGAGTGTCTCAGTTGCTCGTTCCGCCCCAAAAATAAGAGGGTCACCCTGTATTATTCGCAGGAGGATGGATGCAGGCTCGTTCTTGTGTTTGTTTGGTTACCATGTTGCGATCTCGCCATATTGCTCTGTGTTTCTTTTCCTTTTCTTTTCTTCTAGCTTTTTCTTTTCCTTGAGGGGGACAGCGAATAGGAGCGAGGTCACTTTGGAGGTTACTCCTAGCCATGCCGTGTGTCTTTTCCTATTCATTTCGCTACTCCGACATGAAGAAGGAACTGTATCGTTGTCCTTGAGCCCAGACGTGTTTCAAAGTAGGATTTTCCAGATGGAGGGAGACTTGGTTTCCTTTAGCAATGCCTCGCGTGTACCGCGTGTATCCAAAGGGGTAGGTGGTGGAGCGGAATAATGGAAGCAGGGCGGGGGTGAGGTGCTTGCTTGCATCCATGTATCCACCTAGAGGTTGGCATTTTCATTTTTTTCTCTTGTCTCCTACTCCATGCCAATATCCTGTATGACCTCGTGATGCCCCCTTTCTTCTTGATGGCGCGTCTTCTCGAGTCAGTCGAAGCTCCTTTGAGCGCCACCCGAAACATGAAAAGAAACTACCCTTCTTTTGAGCAGCAATGACATGGGCTTTTCCGGTTGATAGCCACGATACCCGAACCGCAATGAGCGGGTTTTCCGGCAGCGGCTCTCGGAGGGTGGATCGAGAACAAAGATCCGTAGGCTGTTTAGGCCGCTTCTCTTCCCGTTTAGGTAACGTATGCGGCATGGATGTTTGGTAGGCGAACTATTTCTCGCAAACGGCCCCAAGGATGGTGAGGTTGGGCATACGTGAGTCCCGCGCACGTATTCAATGTCTGTTTCGTAACGGAAGCGAGGCCGGGAACGATCGGTAGCGGCTGCAACGAACTTCCTCGTCTTTAAAAGCGGACTTTTGATATGCAGGGAGGGAGGAGGGTCCTCTGTTCGAGAGAGAGGCGCATGTTTGTCCGGCCCACGCCGCCGGGCTTGCTCCGAGGGTGGAGTATTTGGTGTGTTTTCTCAAAACTGCAAGCGTCCTTGTTGTTCGGACACGGGTCAAAGGGTCGCCATAGACCTACACCTACGGCGGAGGGCAAGGCGAGTGAGGAAGGGGAGGTAGGAAGGGAAAAAGACCTTTGGTACATCCAAGGGCTGCTTTCGTCCACTGAGTTGCCTCGTTGTCTCGCGAGAGGCCGCGAGCCATTTCTCAGTTCGTCGGTGATGCCTCATTGAAGCGGTGCGAGGGAGCACTCCACTTCCTGGCTTGTTCTCCTCTTTTCTTTCTTTCTCCTTCCCTTTACGGGGACCCTGAGGAGAACTCTTTCCCTTTCCCCTCAATGCCGTGGCATCAAGGGAGAGGAGAGAGGCAGGTCAGAGGGAGAGAAGCTTGAGCCTGTCAACAGAGGCCAAGAATCTAATATGTTTCGCAGGATAAGGTCCATGTCAATTACTCATACACATACATGTAAGGCGCCATGGTCTGATAAGGGAGGCCTTGGATCCTGGGCCGCCCCTAGTCAGGGAAGTCGAGGTGGGAGGAGAGGAGGATATCAAAAGGGCTTTCTCCATTTTTGCTCTTAAGCTAGATGAGCAAAACTCCGTTGACAAGTCACAGTGGCACAGGATACCTTCTAGCTGTATGTGATCAAGAGTTATCATATTTTCTACCTTTTGTTTTAGGGGTAATTGCTATAGAGAGAGACAAACTCTCCCACAAGTGTACTAGCCATCTACTACTCAACTTCCATTCACTCATCCTAAGCCTCTTCCATAAAGAGAAAGGAAAAAACACAAGGTAAGATCAGGGCCTTTACCATGTCGATAAATTGTCGTTGAGGGTTCTGTTTTGTAATGAGTGTAGAGGTGAAGATGACCAAGGGAATGCTGCAAGCTTCGCTTTAAGGGTGTTGAATTGCAGAGAGAATGTCAGGAATACCAGTATAGAGAAATAGTAAGGAAGTAAGAGAGTGAGAAAGAGTGTGAGTATGTGTTTATAACGCAAACGCAAAAAGACAGAGAGAGACCGAAAAAGGCAGAGAGGGAGCACAGCTAAGGGGTATGAAGGCAAAAGGGGTGAAAAAGAAAAGAAAAAACCAAAAGACGCTTCTCTACGCTGACTAGAAGGAAAGGCAGAGAGCCCCAAGTATAGGGTATGATGGGTATCAAGAAAGCAGTCGAAACAGTGACTTTTCGACCAATGCCGAAACGGGCTATGAACGCCAAAACGCGTGATCAAAAAGAAAAGAAAAGAAGAAAAAAGCCAGGTCCCTCCTCTTGTCTCTTCCCGTCTCTCTCCTGCCATATAAAACGAATACAAAGGATGGTAGAGTAAGAAATGTATAAAGGAGAGTAAACAGTAAGTAAAGAAAAGGGTGGCCTGACAAGGCGAATCGGTTACCGCTACCGACCAGGCAGCATCGAGAGAAAAGGAAAAGTCTCCCATATGATCCCATCCCCCACCTCGACTTTGTTGTAACTCGGGAGCGGTGGGAGAAAACGGTCAAGATCCTAGCCCTGTTGCGTTTTCGGCTTCTTCTTCTTGTGCTTCCCGCTTTGCTTGAGCTCAGCCCGGGCGACCTTCATCAAGAGATCCTCATCCTTGACAGGGATCCACGAAGTGAGGACCTTCATGGCGTTGTCAAAGTCGGAATCCAGGATGGTTTCGCTAAGAGCATCCATGAGCGCCGTTGCTGAAGCATGAAGCACGTCAAGATGGGCAGTCGCTGCATCATCGTTCTTCGACTTGCCTTTGCCACTGTCCATCTTGGATGAAGAGGCCGCAGCGGTGTTCGGCGCCGGTGAGGGCGCGGGCTTTCCCAAGAGGAGAAACACGTCCCATACGCGTAGTTGCGCGGGGAAGGGGATGGAGAGGTTAAAGAGTGTAAGATACCAGCGAGTACCAAAGGCGGTGGCATCGATGCCCAGCTCAGAGAGCTTCGTCGCGACATCTTTCCCGGCTAGCCATCGGGTCTCGAGGTCGGAAAGACAGGCGAGTAAATTCTCGAAGCCGGCGCTGTATAGTTCGGAGAGCCCGCGCAATTGCCACATTCGAGCCATCATGACGAAGGCGCGTTCTTCGTCGAAATAGCAGAGCAGGGTAGCGGCTAGGGACGCCATGCCCTGGACATAACCAATGTCAGGGAAGTAGAGGGCCACGGCGCGCAGGACACGGAAGAGCAGTCTCTGGCCACCACGGTAGCGCCGGCGGAACATGATGTGTTGGCTAATAGTGCGGGGCACATCGAGGTCGATCTGACCGTCGTACTCGCAGGGCTCACTCTGCAAGCGACTAAACTCTGCCACAAGTTGCTCTTCGGAGGGTGCGTTTGGATCAGCGCGGGCGCTGCTAGCGAGGAACGAATACCAGGCAGCACCACGCCAACAGTCGGGAATGCCCTTCCAAGTGCGGTCCACGAGCTTGGGGTTCTTTGGATCGAACTCGAATTCCATACCCTCGCCGTCGTTGCCCTTCTTAATCACTTTGGCCATGCGGCGCCACTTCTCGGCGCGCTCCCATTCCTTCTGCTTTAGGGTCTCGGAAAGAACGTCGGCGTTCTCATCCTCGGCGATATGTGTGATGCCAGGGGCATGGGTGAGCATCTCGCCCGCTTCATCGGCCCGTCTGCGATCCCTGTTATGGGGGAGCAGGTTTGCGGCTTGGCGTAAGGTCGAGAATGACGAGCGCCTCGAGGCCACGGAGAGTTCGGAGGCTTGGGTGTGGAGGGATCTAGCAGAAACCTTCCTTCCCGGCACGCGGGCGCTGTTGAGCTCGGACGGATCGCGTGTCGTCAAAAAGTTCCTCCTTCTCGACGTTGCGCGGCCCCGGCGGCCAGGGTTGTCCGCCAGGGATCCGGCGGTATGTTGGGGACGAGGCCGGATGAAACCATATCGGTCGACATCGGCCCCGTCAATATCTTGCCAGTCTTCAGCTCCGCCAGCAAGTTCATACTCGAGCCTGACTAACTCGGGCGGAGGAGGGACCGAAGATTCGGCGGATATTGAAGTACGCTGAGGTAGGACTGGGAGTGACAGTCCGGCTTCGGGCTCGCGGCTAAACACGTCGAACAAGGAGAAAAAAGCACAACAGGTTAGCCAAGTGAACGAAATGTTAAAGGTCAAGAGACAAGAGAAAGGCACAAGAGGATTCATCTCTTTGTTTTTTTCGCCCATTTTTCTTTCTTGTGCGGGGAAAAAGAAAAGAAGAAGAGGTCCAATGCAAGAAAACGGAGCAAATCAAGTGCGGGAGACCAAGGAAAGCGTACGTGTCAAGCGAGTCCTTCTGAACGGGGTCCTCGGGGGTGGGAGCCAGGCGCTGACCCGATGAGGATGGGGGTGCACCCAGCTCCCAGTTGAAGGCATCACCAGCTTCATAGAGCGATCTCACCTTTAGAGACTCCCTCTCTACATCTGCGGGGAGAACGCGAACGCGTGGGATCGCCGGCGGGGGTTCGTCGGACGTCGCAGCATCGGGGTTGGGCGGCGATGCATCGTCGCTGGCTGCGGAAATGGCGGTGGTTGTTGCTGTTGTGGGAGTGGTGCTGGTGGCCGGAGCGGTGGCGTCTATGGCGGTGGGGATAGCCGTGGTGTGGGCGGGGCTAGTAGTGGGACGGGAGGCAATAGTCTTGCTGTCGGGAACGGCGGCGGCGTGCTCGATGGCCGAGGTGGAGTCGTTATCGGTCATGTCTTCGCGAGGGAGGGCGCGCTTCCTCCAAACATGATGCTGCCGCGTTTGGAAAAGGTGACGTTGGTTAAGAAATCGTCGTCAAGGAGGCTGTCTGTTGGGATGGAAATGGAAATGGGGAAAACTGCCCCTCTGGCGTATGCGCACTGTGATTGGTGGCAGGGCGTTTCGGGGAGGACGGTGACGGTGGTCCGTGTGCCACACTGATTCTTGTGGGTTGCTCTGGCTCTTGGGCACCACCCCCACCACTCGTCGCCTCTAGATTTGGGAAAGATTGTCCCGGCTGTTTGGGGGTGGAGCTGGCCCCGTCGATCCCCATTTCCAAAGGTGTCGCCATCTCGACCATGCTTCTCTTCTTCAAGCGGGTCGACGAGCCGACGCGGAAGCTAAAGCCTCTGCCAAGCCTGCGCTGGGATGTGGTCGGGCTCTTGGGGCTTTGAGGTGGCTGGGAGAGTTCAGAAGAGGCTCGAACGGGGTCCTGGGGTCGAAGAGCTTTCGGTGAGAGAGGAGGTGGAGGTGCCGCTCGGGGATGGAGTTGGCGAGCCACCAAGGGCGCCTTACCATCGTCATCGGGGCCATCACACTCGAAGCGGCGAGCCGCAAGAAGCTCCTTGATGGCGAGGGCAGAATCCTCATCGAGCACGACTGGCGACTCAATCAGGGTGGGAGATTGTGTGATGGCTGGTGATGTGGCGGGGTGGCTTGAGGTCTCCAGCTCTAGACCGAGCTCTTTGTCATACAGGATAGGTGTATCGAGCTCTTCCTCGTATATCGTTGTGGCTGATGAGGCACTAGGGGCGACTGAGTCCCTCTTCCATTCATCACCGCTGTCGGTAGTTGAAGAAAAGTCGCTCCTCAAAGCCGGATGCTCTTCAGCCGGAGGCATAGGCGGGGTCTGGCCACTCATGAAGAAAGACATAGCGGGATTCGACGATATGGTTCGTAGTGAGGCGGACCCCGAGCGCGCCGGAGGATGTCGAGGAGCGGGTATCGGGATTGGGGGCTGGGCCTGCACCGTCTGTTCATACCTAAAGGCGACCAGGTTCGACTCATCTCGGAAGGGCATGAGGGAGGCGGTGCGGCGTTTTGACGACCGGAGACTAGAGAACTTGGGGGCGACATGATGGTAGGTATTCCGGTTTCTACACTTTGCCTCCGTGTGGCCGATTTGGTATCAAACTCGCGTAGGTTACCGGGCTCGATGAAGATGATCTATCTCTTCCACTGTGATTATGCTTGGAAGCCAAGCTGAATTGTTACACGATGGCAACTGACTGAGACGACCGCCGTGGGTGTGATTCTTTTTGTGATCTCGTAACCCGATTTGGAATGGGTGGGCTAGCCAATGCCGAAGTGGCAGGGATCGGGTCCCGGGATTGTTCCTTTCGGTATCTCGATGTAACACTGCCAGCAAAATCCCTGAAGAGTTTTGGGCACGCAGTGCGCAAGGTCGAACTCGAACTATTATTCGAAACGCGATGAGGTGTTAGATCTTTGTTCCCGTTCTGGTATTCTTCTCTTCTGAAGGTTATCTCTTCGTCCCTTGTCCCAATTCCTTCACTCTCTGGTGCGCTATCTGCTCGACATCAGGAGCGCAGAGTCGAAAAGGAAAAGGAAACCAGGGCAATGGCTGAGGAAGAACGAGGAGAGGGAGAAAAAAACAGGTGTGTGGTCAGGGAAAGAAAAGAAAAAGAAAAAGAAAAAGATGTGAACAATTGAAATTTCAGAAACTGGGTGCCAGCGAATTCGGGCAGACATGGAAAGCGAGCAGAAATACAAGAAACACGAGTGTGGGAAAGCTACTGACTGTTGTCGTGTGTTGTTGTGCCTTTAGGTTGGGCGCGTTTGAGGGGAAGCGGCGAGTTCCACGACTGAGCTCCAATCATGTAAGTCGACTTGATCGGATGTCCAAGGCAGCAAAACCAACACGACACCACAAAACTTGCGGAGTATAAACAACAATACAGAGAGGGCACGAGTAAGGGCAGGAGAAGAAGGGAAAGAAAAAAGGGGACACTCAAAACAGGAAGCTTTTGAAGAGTATGAACTTGAACGAGAAAGAATAGAATTGGAGATGTACTCACAAATTAAGGATTGTGCTCGTCACGAGGCCAAATAAAAATTTGGAGGAGGGGAAGGAGGAACCGAAAAGAAAAAAGAACCCAAAAACGAGGAAGAGGGATAGGTTGGCGGGCGTAAGGATGAACCCGAGGGTCGTCTTGAATTTCTCTTGTTCTCGAGCAGTACCGGGCTTGTTTGGGGGAGATGGACCTTGGCGAAAGGGGTCTTGGAAACTAGAGAGCAAGAGCTGGACTGTTTTCACCGAAGCCTATGTCTGGCGTAATGGCGCGTTAAGACTAGGCAGAGGGAAGGAAAATGAGAGACGAGATCCGAGAATATTGGGCTTTAAGCGCGGGTATGTCTAAGAGTAATAAGACGAGGACGGACGAGGCCGAATGAAGAAAAGGGCGGTTGAAGATGATGGAGAGACAAGGTAAACAAGGCCAATTGCTCGGCGAGAGAAGATGGTCTTCTTTTCTTTTTCTTTTTCTTCCCTCTGGAATATTCGTTTTGCGTGACAATCGTGCTGATTCGTTCTCGTGTGAATTCGTAAAAGGCCGTGATGATGCAATGGAATGAGCAGAAAAAAAGAAGTAAAGAGGGATGACCCAATGCGAACCAAGACAAGAGAGCCCTGAGAAGGACTGTGAGAGGAGAACGGGGAAAATGGCCTAGATAACGAAAAAAGGAAGACGAAGCCCGAGAACCGATTCAAGCCAGTCGTTGTCTTGCTGGCGTTTCTCTCTCGAATTTATTCCATGTACAAGTGAGGGCCAGGGCCTTTCGTTGGTCGTGAGCGTCAAAGTCGTGGGCGTTGGGTCGAAAAAGAAAGAAAGTGCAATGGGAAGGCGTCAGGAAAGGTGGGGGAGGAACGCCACCACTAGGGTGTCGGAGCAGGGGGTTTGATTTCGTCGTCGACGTGTCGGTCCGTCTGTCGTTTGCTGCTCGTTTCTTTTTCTTTCGTGCACCTCTCCGCAGCGTACTCTCGGCGGGTTTGTGAGGAGCGGAGAAGGCGAGGGATTACTTGCAGCAGCAAAGAGAGAAGAGGACCCGAAGAATGGTCAACGGAGAGCTTGAGGGACAGGAACCCGGGGGCGGTTTTTTCAAGGGTGAGGAGAGCCACCGACTAATAAGAACCTCGAAAGTAGGGACCCCGGCAATGACTTTATGGAAGGAGGGGACGAGATTCTTAGAAAGAGGTCCAAAAAGAAAAAGAAGAAGAAAAGGAAGAAAAAGAAAAAGAACCAGGCCCACCAAAACAGGCGGCTGAGATAGATGGAGAGATGGCGAGATGGTGGAGGCCGAATTAAAGATATCAATCCTCTTTCATCTATCTCGTTCCCGGTACCAGTCCTTTGTCCTGCTCGGGCCGCCTCCATCCCACTTCTTTGATCCGCTCATTTTCTCTTTTTCTTTTTCTTTTTCCTCCCGTTTTTTTTTTTTTTTTTTTACCCACCTTACTACCTTTCCTCTGGTATCTCAAATTGTACCTTCTATATTCTCGATGCCCCGTTAGTTTGTCGCGGCTCCAGTCTTCTGACCGTTCATCACTGAGCAGTTCGACCACATGTCACCTTGACCCCAACGAAGCGAGGACTAGCTCCTGCCTCCACGGTCCAACAATTCTGCTCCACGTCTGCGACGATACAAACGGCGGGCATTCTCATTCTGCGTCTGCCTTTGCACGAGCTCTTTTTTTCATCTTTTATTTTTGAGCGATCCTACTAGCGTTGCTTTTCTTTTATTTTGCCATCAATCTCATTTCTGCTCCACAGAAGCGCAGACACATCAACCGAGACCCTCTCATTCCCCAGCTGTGGCGGCGTGCGGCAACCACTTCCGCGGTCCCAAGGGCCCCCAATGCAGGCTTTGCGGCGTAACCTTTCCACGGGCGATCCAACATGCAGGGCCTCTGAATCAAATTGGGTTTTCTTATACCGTTCTTCTTCACAGTTCACATACAAGTACCTCGCTACGCACTTGAAGAAGGCAATAAAAAAAGAAGAAGAAAAAAGAAGAAAGAAAGGGCGTGGCAACGCTAGGGAGTCGGTGTCTACCTTGCCCACCCACCCAGGTCACACCTACTTTTCACGCTTTCCGCTCTCCACCGCTCCGTTTGTGTCAAATTCAACCCTTTGCAAGCAACACGCATCGTCAGCTGGACCCGCACTTGACAATCCACATACCCGGAGCCACGACGCAGCCATTGCGGAGATTAAGATCGATCTAAACAGAGCATACATGTGCCAAGGGAGAGGTGAGAGAGAGACGGAGAGAGTAAATAGTCTCAATAAGGCAGAGTAATGGATACATGTAGAGGTAGGACGCGAGAAGCGGGAAGACAAGAGACGAGAAGCGGGGGCTTCAGTGACTGGCTGGTCCCACCTAAAAGGGAAAAAGAAGGGAGGAAGAGAGAGGGAGCGATACATGTACCTAATGGAACCGCTTGATACAGAAACCTGGCTCTTCGCTTCGACTTCAACACAACAGTCGACTGCCGTTGAGCGGGCCACTTCAAAAACAGGATTGCGTGAGGTCTTGACGCTAGTCTGGGTAGTCGCACCCAAAGTCTCGAACAACCCTCCATACATGCAGTAGGGGAGCCTTGCCCACCAAGCTCGAACCCTCTCGCACCTCCCGCGGGTTTCCGTCCTTCGGGCGTCCGAACGGAGGGCGTTTAACCACGCTCTCTGCGCTACAGGGAGTATTCAAACTCTCTGAGAACACCATAAGAAATAGGGTAGTCACCGATACAACACGGCATGGATGAATCAATCCTCCTCCTCCTTGCATGTGTATTCGTATGATCAGGACTCACCTCGAGGATGAAAACCAGTGCCCTGAAAGAGATGTTAGGATGTATCAGTTCCAAACCAATGGCCCCAGAGATGGTTTGCCAAGGATATGAGACGCACGCAGCGATCAGTTCAATTTGACGGGATACACCAATGAAGGACATGCATTTTACATGCAAGGGACCACTCACTTGATGTGGCATTAGCTCCTGCCAGCACTGTACTATCAAATTGAGATTGATTTTGTGAAGAATGCGAAAATCGACCCTAAACAAGCAAGAGAAGAATAGAGAAAGGGAAAAAAGGAAGAAAAAAGATAACGACCAAGGAAGAAGTAAATAAATTCGACATCACTTTACTTGGGGGAAACGACGAAATGAGCTGAACGTGTAAGTGGAACAAAGAAGAGCAAGCGTTTGAAGATTGTTCGTTTGAATGGCTATGCAGGAAATCAAAAGGAGTTTCTTGCTGTGTGTCTCTTCACTACATGAAATGATACCTCTGTGGGGATGAATCAAGAAAAAGGACGAGGGGAGAGAAAAAAAAAAAGAAAAGAAAAAGAAAAAAAGAAAGGCAATATGTGAATTCAAGGCTTAATTCTGCTCGAACCGAGTTTTTCTCCTCCTTTTTCCTCGTTAATATCCATCATGTCCAGTGACACCCCAGCCGTCCTGGAGATCCTTTAAGCGAAGCTTCCTACCCAAGACAGACCAAGATAGGCGGACGGGGTGGTGCATAACATGAGGAATTAAATAAACAAGCGATATGCCTCGTGAAGAAGTCAGTCGACAACTGTGGGAAGCTGAGATCGATAGTGAATTCAAAGGGCGGAGAGAACCGAGGTATCAGAAGTCAGGAAGGCGAGTCGAGAAGGAAAATTTCTTGAAAATGGGAGAAGTACAAAATGGAAACTTGGAAGTTCACCTGTAGCCGTGCACTGCAGTGTTTGCACGAGGATAAGAATCCAAGGGGCCGGCTCATCGCAGCGCCGGGTGGCGTCTTACACAGACAAACAAAGCAGTACATGGACACGATATACTTAGATCGAGGAATCTTTGGCAGCATTGATCCTTGCAACCACGGACAGTGCCTTTGCTTCTCCTCCGTTGCGAGCGGGTTTGGGTTTAGACCTAGTGAATTGCTGGGACTATGTTGATCGATTGTGATGCTAATTGTAGATAGATGGCCTCAGCAGATCCATCAATAGATC